CCACACAACAGCATAAATATGTTAAATTTCCCCCCCCCCCCAGGAAACCCACAGGCTCAAATTCCTCATTCTTCAAGTTCAGCAAATAATAATAACATTTTATTTTCCATCAAAAAGCAACAAATCTTTATTAGAACATTAATAATGCCAGACACATCTGATCATTATTTCTATAGAACGTTGCACAGCCAAACACGTCACAGCAAACATCAGTCACAAGCGCATACTGTAACAGTCTCCAACATTCAATACAGGATATTAGTGTTCTCAATGGCAAGGTATGTAGTTTTAGCTGGTTGAGCTCCTGCAATACCTCAAAGCAAACCCAGGGATCCCCAAACCTTGGCTATCTCTAACCTACACCCAATGCTCTCTGGAATTAGGTCAACTAAGTTTTGCCTCCAGGGAAAATGTGTGCACTCCATTCCAAGTGCAGGGATATATCTTTGTGTTAGTGGCATATATGTGTTGAAATCTATCTGGTTTGGATAAGTATGCTGAAGGATTCTGTAAGAGTCTGAAAAAAAACCTGTAGTGCTGCAAAGAATTACAATTGAATTTTTGTCACACAGGTTTTCATTGCAATGGCATCACAATTCAAAGGTAACCACATACAGTGAAACTCTGATAACTCACCCCTGGGACAAGTAGTTAACCTTATTTTACTTGTCACTCAATCAATAACCCGGCTGTTTTCCATAAGAAATGTTAATTGTGATATTCTGATAACTTGACAGGTTTTTGAAGTTTTAATACGGTATTTCCATGTTATATACCTCTGATATTCAATCTTCAAATCGATAAGTGATTAAGGAATTTTTATAATTCCCCAAAACACCATTTGTCTAAGGTGCGTTGAATGCTGTACTTTGTGTGATCAGCTTGCTTGCTGTTTATGTATCCAAGCAGTTAACATATACCATTCAGCTTTTGCATTCATGCATGAGCCACTGTAAATGTCTTAAAATCTTATGCAAGCATTTTGAATTAAAAAACAAAGAAATTGAGAAACTTCTTTCCCATTCTGATTCGAGTACTTCGTAATTTTGAGACGCTGTACTTATGAAAAGTCTGATAAGTTTTCATTTGAGCTATTTTCCTTGGGGTGACGAGTTGTCAAGAGTTTCACTGTACCATTGAAAAGTACTTAAAGCCAAGTCATCTCATAAGTGATAATCGAGAAATGGAACTCATTTACTTTCTATTTGAAGCTTTTAAGTGCATATACAAAAAAAAGTGTCACTCAATCCACGACTGTTTGTGGGTCTTTTCTGTGCGCAATTGCCTTCTGCGTTTTGCAGACAAAATATACAGTCAATCCACTTTTCAATTTATTCTGTGAAGCACTTTGAGACAGCTCAATGCTATGATAATGCGCTATATCAAAAGCAAGGATTATTATTACTACTGTACAGCTGACTGCAGAAATGGTCTTAGCAGCTGAAGAAGCAAACTCCCAATACAAACAGAACTTACAAAATTAACCACTTAACTTCAGAATTGATTTTCACAAAGGAGCCATAATTTTAAATTGTATCCTTCTCTGTATTTGCAATTTATGACAGCTATTCCCAGATACCTTTTCAGATGCTGTTTGATTAGCCTTAGATCTTACAGCATTTGAGCTATTTTATTTCTTTATTTTTTATTTCTAATTTCTCTATTCCCACTTTTTTAAAAAAAAATCTTCCTGTATTTTAGAAAGATAACATGGCAATACCACGACTTGGCATGTACGGGCGTTCAGTTCCTAGTTCAGTGGGAGCTGCATCGTGCCATCCATCATAAATCATCTCCCTTTTTTTTAAAAATAAACAACAAGATTAAGGCAATGACTTAGTCCCACGCTTCGGTTGCTGCCCACAACATGCCAGAGATTACTGATGTGTTTGTGCAGGTCTTGCATCTGATGATAAAGTTCATGCAATGTCCGGCATTCTCCCCTCCACGACATATTTCCGCAGCAATAATAAAAACAACTTACATAAATATATTTTATATATATATATAGCACCCTTCACATAGAATAATATCTCAAAGATCTTCATAGTTACAGGATCAGACACAGAAAGGAGAGAAGAGACCAATTTCAAAATTGCTGCGATCATTTTTCAATTATAAGAACATAATATAAGAATTTGCTGGGCGAAAGAAGACCAAGGTCCATCTAGTTCGCCTTCCACCATCCTGGCAGTTGCTTGGCATGTCGTGTCCCAAACTATATACTGTATCTTGAGATATTATTTTCTAGCAGAAATCTATCTCATATTGCTCTCGAAACAAACATTTTCTGCTTCTACTGTCTCCATAAATTTACTACTCGCTCACTAAAGTAGTGTTTCCACAGATTTGGTCTGAATTTATCCCCCTTCAATCGCAGGCTGTGTCCACTGGTTCTACTGTTTAGTACAAGATAAAACAGCTTATCACAGTCTACATTATCTAGTCCCTTTAGAATCTTAAAAGATCGTAATCATATCATCCCTCAACCTTCTCTTCTTCAGCGTGAATATGCCCAGTTTATCTAATCGTTCCTCATAGTCCAGTCCCTCCATCAGTCAATCATTTTGGTTGCCCTCCTCTGTATCCTCTCAATTGCTGCAATATCCTTTTTATAATAGGGGGAGCACAACTGCACACAGTAATCCAAATGCAGTCGCACCAGTGATTTATAAAGTGGGAGGATTACCCCACTATTTCGGCTCAACATTGTCCTTTTAATACAACCCATTATCTGGTTTGCCTTATTCACTGTTACCGAGCATTGTTGCGATAGCTCTACATTAAATTTCATCTGCCATCGTTCTGCCCAATTCAAGAATGATCAAGTCCTCCTGTAACCTATCCTGTTCATCTTTGCAGTCTACTAACTTCCTTAACTTTGTGTCATCTGCAAATTTAGCCACTGTGCTTGTGACTCCTACCTCCAGGTCATTTATAAGGGGTCCCAAAGGGATCCCAAAACAAACTCCTGGTACCATTCTCCCAGCCTGATGATATTCCCTGTACCACCAACTTCTGGGTCCAATCGGTACCTTATAAACCTATTTTTAGAGCTTATCTATCCGACTGCTTTCTTGATACGAAAATATCTAACATATTTTAGCCACTTAATGTGCATTCCAATCACTAATAAAATTATATAGATTTGCATTTTGCAGATCGGACATCTGGAGAGATTAATGTGGATTAAGAATGCACATTAACTTGCATTCATTCGATTTGGACTTGGTTCAAAACGATAGGCGACATTCAAGAAAATTTCAAAAGGAACCTTACGTGGCTGTGCATGAGTTATGAGTTTCAACCACAATTGAAAATATTTTTTAATTCAGGCACTTTAGTAATTCCAATGTGTTTATTCAAACATATATCAGAAAAGTGATTATTCAAAGTGAGTAGATATGGAGCCAAGGGTTATTATTTCAATAGACAAGCAGTTTAATACCCCATTTTCTTAAAGGATTGTTACTGGTGGCATCACTGTAAAGGCAGCGATGATGCCCTTTCTAGAACAGAGCTCCACCTCAAGAGGAATCCACCAAAGGTATCAGAAATCTAATCTTCCTACTGTCGCATTAACTGAAACTCACCATTAACTGAAACTCATCATCACTGAAGTTCTGGACTACTCTCCCTCAATCTCTCCATCTTGCCCCATCCTTCCCCATCTTCAGGTCGCGTCTGAAGACCTTCCACTTGGACCATACCTACGGCTCCCCCCTCCACCCATGGCTCAGCGTTGTGCTTAGCCAATGTCAAGCGCTCTGGAACACTATTCTGTGTGAGGGGTGCTATATAACAGCAAGATTGTTATTAATATTTTTTTAATGGATACAATTTAAGAAGAGCTCAATTGTAGCAGGTGGAAAGAAATTCATCTCACTAAGTAAGAAGGGCAATTAATAATAATCCTTGCATTTGATATAACACCTCATCACATCTTCAAGACATCTCAAAACTCTTCACAGAATATACTGTAAAGTGAATTGACTGTATATTTTGTGGGCAAAATGTGGCAGCCAATTGCACACAGCAGTGTCCTACGAACAGCCATGGATTGAGTGACCTATTTAGTTATTATAATTATATGCAAAACTACCAGAAGCTCATAGCCACATTTTACAGCATCCCTGTAAAATTAATGGTCTATAACTTAATCTGAGGTTGTCTGAAAATAATTCTGAAATATCTAATAATCTCTCAATAATGCTGAATAGAATCAGGACTAAATTATTCACTCAGGCAGGCATCCCAACGTGTGGCCAATTGTAGTCAATTTTTCACTGTGCATAGCTCAACAGTTTAGGAGTCATTAGAACTTCAGGTGAACATTTGACAAGAATCATAAAGTATCATTCAATAGTGTATGATAGATCAGTGTCATGTAGAGGATATTAAATGGATAGAAGTAGATACAAGGCAGAAATTGAACCAATGGGTTCAGGTAATGCATTCTAAACTTCCATATTGTGGATCTCCTGTGAAACACTCAAGTACTAAACAACCCTTGCGTTTTTTTAAAAAATGTTTCTTCAACACTTTTTGCAGTGTTGCTCTTCCATTTCTGATACGTGCACTGAGCAATAGTGCACAGTGATCACTAAAAGGAAACCAGTTTTTCAGATGATGGTAAAGAAAAGTTCACTTTCATCACTCTATGTCCTAAATCTACAAACTTCCAAACCCATCACCAGGAAGGAACAATACGGGGGCAAAAAAGAAAATTACACTTTTGTTAATAAATAAAACTGGCACAAATTTGTAGGGAAATATGCTCATACATTTCTTATTAAAAAAATATATATTGCTCTTGAAAACGGCATCTTTGTAATCCATACACTGCAATGTCAGAACATCCGATTAGAAAATGAAGAGGGATATGATATTCATGAAGCTGCTCAATGGATCAACTGTATTACATTGCGTTGGTATAACAACTAACTATTTCTCAAAGGTATAACTAAATTTGAATATAATGACATTTAAATTGTACCTACCCCTCCTTGTACACAAATATGAGCACTTGCTCCCGGAAGACTCTTTTGGGGGATAGTTGGATTGTGAGGCAGAGCTGTAATCAGGAGGGCTTGAACTTGGTGGGTCCCTGAAGTGTTCAGATGGCGGCGGTCTTGCAGTGGATGGCCTGGTGTAGGACTCATCTGGTGGAACTTGTGAAAGCCTGCCCACAGGAAAAAAATGTTTGTAATTTACGTTATTTAGAGCTCCTCCCCAGAAATAAATACTGTACCAAGTTCATTATTGACATATGGCGTTAAGAAGCCTTTTGTGTGTGGTGGTGTGGAGGGGTAAAGAGTATAGAGAAAAATCATAATTTTTCATCTAAGTCAATGTTTACTAATGTGAAATAGAACACTTATTTTATTAAAAAAAACACCAAAGTGGACCTAAATTCAAAAAATTATCTCATAAATGATATAATAGGTGGTGTTAATCTTGTATAACTCATGCCTTAAAAACACGATGGGGAAGGGTGTTGAAAGTAATAATAACAATATTTGATATAGCATCTTATCATGTCTTCGAGACATCTCAAAACACTTCACAGAATATATTGTGAAGTGACCGTATATTTTGTGGGTGAAACGCGGCAGCTGATTGTTGATTGTTTGTGTCCCACAAACAGTCGTGGTTTGAGTGACCAAATTATTATATTTTAAAATTTATTTTGAAGGGATTATTAAACCCGGAAAAGCAATCCGCCAATTGACTAACATCTGGGTTCCTACTTACTGCTAGAGGCGTGTGGAGTAAGGAAACTTGCCTAATGTTTTGCCCTGCCGGGAATTGATCCCAGGTTAGGGAAAAAGGATGCAAGACAAAGATCTTGGGAGAGGGATGTCGAGAGAAACAGCGTCAAGGTTGTTGAAATCTCACCCATTCATGGGACAGAGGGGCTGAGGGATTGCCAAGAATCACTGTCATTTCAGTCAAACAGTTTCAGGAGCCATTTGATCAATTTTGTTTCTACTTTTAATACAAATTGTCCATTAGTGCTGCTTTTATCAGTTTACATCACACAGTCAGGAAGTGAAAGGGAGTGTCCATTTGGGCACACTGGACTAAGATTCCAAAGCACAGAAATTTCATTTTTTTTCTAAGTATAACATTCCCACACACTCATTAATCATCCAATCCACAATACGATAAGAGGTAACATTATAATTCCTGCCAGATTTTAGTAATCCTCTAAACGTTTAAATTGTGTTTATTCTTGTAATTTCAAACCATTTCTTGTCCATATTGCATAACACAGTCAGAGAAAAAGGAAAGACCATTATCTATTCCACAAGGACACAATTTAGTAACTAACTATCCATAATATACTGTGTTTTCTGGTTTTCCTTAAGAGAATCCTAAAATACTAACTAATCCTTGCAATGGGATGTGGCACTTATCAAACCATCTTGATAACCTGATAATCTTGAGTCCTTCACAAGATTCAGACTCCTAGATCCCATTAGGTGTTGTCACTTCATCTGGCCTGAAAAAAACTTTGCAATTCACAGATATACACAACGACCCTCATAAATAATTTTCCATCCAAGTTGTACTTTGGTTATTTGGTATAGGAATATACTCCAAGATGCCATTCGGCATTTTATAAATGCAAGTTGTTGTAGAATCTAAAATGTAAAATTTGCAAGCAATAGTCACTTTTATTTGTACTTTTCGTTTGCGACCTAAAATAGGATTCACTGAGCAAATTTATGATCTGAAATTTCATCAAAGCTCGATTTGTGGTGTTTGCTTTCCAACCCTTTGTCAGATTTATGAAAGCAAAAACCTTGGCTATGATCACGATTTCTAATTTGGGAATGCCTCATTTTATACCCTAATCAAAGTGATTTAATGAGACTGTAAATAGGTACCAAATACCTATTTGGAGTCCTGTAGCTCAGTGCTTAGAACGCTTTCCTTGCTAGTGAGAGATTCCCGGCAGGGCGAAATGTTGGGCAAGTTTCCTTACTCCTCACACCTCTGTTTACCCAGAAGTAAGTAGGAACCTGGTTGTTAGTCAATTGGTGGATTGCTTTTTTAGGGGTAATAATTCCTTCAAAACAAAAATAATAATAAATTGGTCACTCAATCCATGACTGTTTGTGGGACACTGCAGTGCAAAATTGGCTGCCGCGTTTCACCCACAAAATATACAGTTAATTCACTTTACAGTATATTCTGGGAAGCGGTTTGAGACATCTCGAAGATGTGATAAGGCACTACACCAAATACAAGGATTATTATATTATAAATACCTTTCATTGGAGGAGTACGATTGCCTAGAAGGATGTGGTTTATTTTGGCGAGACTCTCTGTGGCCTTCTCCAGCGTGCCGGTTGGAATGATTTCTGTCCCCATTTGCTCGGTCTTGATGCCTTCTTTCCCGATGCGGTCTGTTGGAGGGCTGACTTCTTGCAGTTCTGTTTGCATTAGACATCGTGCAGTTTCATTCGCATTCCACTTCTTGAAATACACATGAATTCTGAATATATATAAAAACGCAACAAGTTACACACAAAAACATTCAGCCACAAAATATTACAACTTAGCCTGGCTGAGTTGGTGGTACTCTCATCTCCAATCAGAATTCTGTGGGTTCAAATCCTACACAACGACATGGGCTGAAACTTCATTGCAGTGCTGCATTATCGGATGAGACAACAACCAACAACACCACTACATTTATAGAGCACCTTTCACGTCAGGACGACGTCCCAAAGCGCTGGACAGTCAGGGGTCAGGACCTGAGTATGGGGGAGTGGTGGGGTAGGGGTGAGGGAAGGCAGAGAGGTGAGAGGGCGATTGAAGAACCAAGGTCCTGTCTGCCTGTTCGGGTGACTGCTAAAGTCACCTGAACAATGTATTATTGTCGTGGAGTCCTGTAGCTCAGTGGTTAGAGCATTCGCTTTGCAAGTGAGAGACCTGAGTTCAATTCCAGGCAGGGCGAAACCTTGGGCAAGTTTCCTTACTCCACACAGAGCCTAATAATAATCCCTCCAAAAAAACAAAACAATAATAAATTGGTCATTTTCAATCTCCGACTGCTTGTGGGACATTGCTGTGCGCAATTGGCTGCCGCGTTCGCCCACAAATATACAGTCAATTCACTTTATAGTGTGTTCTGTGAAGCGCTTTGGGACGTCCTCCCGACGTGAAAAGCGCTATATCAAATGCAAGGATTATTATTATTATTATTATTTGAAAAGAGAAAGGAGTGATCATTCACTCATTGGCTATTCTTGAGACGTTGCTGTTCTCAAAATCTCTACCAACTTTGCCTACAAATACAATACAAAATTACATTTGTACAGCGTCGTTCATATCGGGAGTACGTACCAAGGCGCTGGACAGTCAGGGATTTCGACCCAAGCTGGGGGTCAGGATCGGGAGGGTGGAGGGTAGGTAGAGTAGGAGGGTGGCCGAAGACTCGGTCAAAGAGGAGAGTTTTGAGACACACGTTGAAGAAAGCAAGGGAGGGAGCGAGTATACAGTCACTAACCTTTACAGGAAATTCTGTAAAATGTTTTAAAATATTTTGAAGCCTATAAAACACTATATGCAAGAATTATTTTAACTTCTGGATTGTAACAGTAATGGCTTCTTAGAATATTTCACCATTGAAAAGTTGTTCCAGGTTAGATTTATTTTATATTCTATCCATGTTGTAAAAATACTCTGAGCCACTATCCTGCATGAGGGGTGCTATATAAATGCAAGCTGTTGTGGTTATTGAATATCATTATAATTTTTTGGCAATTAACCATTTATTTTCATTACTATCATTACACGGTGCAAGTTTAATTGGGCAGCATTTATAAGATCATGTTCTCTGCAGTAATCTTCACTTTAAATCGATTCTGCAGTTTCTTGCTATTGAACGTTGAAACCCAACAAATGTTTTTTAAAATTATTTGTTATGTAAACATTGCAAGATCTCTTGACACCATTCAAAAGGGAAGTGAATTTCTCCCAACACCCTTGCCAACAATCCTCCAGATTTATTGATCATTCAATTCATGGCTATTTGTGGGACTTTGCTGAGGAAAGTATGTGCTGATCTTCCAAAAACAATCACAACACTTGATAGTAATCAACCATTAAGCACCTGGAGATGTTTTAACATATTAAAAATGTAAGTGCTTTCTATCAGTATCTTAAATTTATTTTGGGTTGTTTTCTGCTTCTGTTAATCTGTGTCTAAAATAATAATTGCAGGACCTGAACCAACCAATAAAACGCAAGTAAAAACTTGGAGAATACTTTGCTCTTTATTCCCAAGATAATCCTTAGACTGTTCAACCTGATTTAAGCAGACCACTCCAAAGGTAGGTCTGGTTAATTGATGATTTGTGTAATAACACAGCATTGCATTGTTTGCCATTACTTTTAGGAATACCTGCATTCTGCTTCATTGACTGTACAGTATTTAATAATAATTCTTGCATTTGATATAGCGCCTTATCACGTCTCCGAGATGCCTCAAAACGCATCACAGAATATACTGCAAAGAATAGACTGTATATCTTGCGGGCGCGACACGGCAGCCAATTGCGCACAGCAGCGTCCCACAAACGGTCGTGGATTGAGTGACCAAATTATTTTTTCTGCGAAGGAATTATTCTTTGCTTTGAAGGGGTCGCCCTCTTCCAAGAAACTGCTTCCAGAGCAGCCGTCCTTTTACCTAAGTACTTACAGAGGGCGGAGGGGAAAGTTAGTTCTTCTTTACAGGCAGCACAATGGAAGTTTATCGAAAACAACATTTTTGTTTGTAATACAGTGGGAGATTGGATTTAACTAGTTACAAGGGAGGAGGTTGATGACTTCATCTATTTCAGACTCTGTCCACATAATTACCCCCGAGGGGCTATTCCCTGCCTCTCCAATCCTACAGGAGAATTAAGTCGATTATTTTCCTTTCTCCTCCTCCCCCACACCTCCACCTGCAAACTGGAAGGACACAGGTGACCTTAAATGGTAGAATAACGTTTCCTTGCGTTAAAACGATGCATATAGGGGGGGATTGGGGAAAGTGAGGGTTTGCACAAAAGAGGGAGAAGAGACAGAAACTCAAGAGGTGGTGGTGTTGCTCAGTGACCCCCTCCCCCCCCCCCCCCCCTACACACACACACCTTGTGTTGTGTGTTGTGTTGACTTTGTTCCTTGTTCAGGTGGTGGAACAGGTCTGTTCAGTTTGAGTGTCTCTCTCTCCCCCCAAAAGAGATCCAGATACCTCCCAGCTCCAGCTCACAGTTACAGTAGTTTTCCTGCTCTTACCTTTTAAGACTTTTCCTTGGTCCAAGTCTCTTCCCAGGATATTGCAGATCTTGTGTAAGGGACAGACAGTGCGGTGGGGAGTGGAAGGTGGGGGTGGATGGGGAGGACTTATTTGCACCACCACAAAGGAGATAAGATCTGAACCTTTGTAACCACAAGTCGAATTGTTTGCAGACCGAAACCTGCCAATGCAAATGCAGAGTAAACCAGTGGCTCAGCACAACACACTCACACACACTCACTCACTCACACACAACACTCACTCACACACAAACACTCACTCACTCACAACACTCACACACACAAACACTCACTCACTCACAACACTCTCACACACACTCACACACAACACTCACTCTCACACACAAACACTCACTCTCACACACAAACACTCACTCACACACACTCACACACAACACTCACTCAGACACAACACTCACTCACTCACACACAACACTCACTCTCACACACAAACACACAAACACTCACACACTCACTCACTCTCACACACACTCACACACAACACTCACTCTCACACACAAACACTCACTCTCACACCCAACACTCACAACACAACACTCACACACACAAACACTCACACACACTCACTCACTCACACACACTCACTCACACACACTCACTCACACACACTCACTCACACTCACTCACACACACTCACTCACACACACAACGCTCACTCACAACACTCACAACACTCTCACACTCACTCACAACACTTTCACACACAACACTCACACACACTCACTCACACACAACACTCACTCACACACAACACTCACTCACACACAACACTCACACACACACAACACTCACTCACAAATACTCACAAACACTCACTCACACACAAAAAACAGTCTCACACACAAACAACAGTCTCACACACAACACTCACACACACACAACACTCACACACAACACTCACTCACACACACACACAACACTCACACACACACAACACTCACACACACACAACACTCACTCCACACAACACTCACTCCACACAACACTCTCACACACAACACTCACTCACACTCACTCACAACACTTTCACACACAACACTCACACACACAACACTCACACACACAACACTCACACACACACTCACTCACTCCACACAACACTCTCACACACAACACTCACACTCACCACACACTTCACACACAACACTCACACACACAACTCACACACAACACTCACACACACACTCACTCACAAACACTCACTCACAACACTCACTCACAAACACTCACTCACACACACACAACACTCTCACACACAATACTCTCACACACACAACACTCTCACACACACAACACTCACACACACAACACTCACTCACACACAACACCTCACACACAACACTCTCACACACACACAACACTCACACACACACACAACTCACACACACACTCACTCACTCCACACAACACTCTCACACACACACTCACTCACACTCACTCACAACACTTTCACACACAACACTCACACACACAACACTCACACACACAACACTCACACACACACTCACTCACACACACACTCACTCCACACAACACTCTCACACACAACACTCACTCACACTCACTCACAACACTTTCACACACAACACTCACACACACAACACTCACACACAACACTCACACACAACACTCACACACACACAACACTCACTCACAAACACTCACTCACAAACACTCACTCAAACACTCACAAACACTCACTCACAAACACTCACTCACACACACACAACACTCTCACACACAATACTCTCACACACAATACTCTCACACACACAACACTCTCACACACACAACACTCACACACACAACACTCACTCACACACAACACTCTCACACACACACAACACTCTCACACACACACAACTCACACACACACTCACTCACTCCACACAACACTCTCACACACAACACTCACTCACAAACACACATTCACTCACTCTCACACAACACTCACTCACTCAACACTCACTCACAACATTCACTCACACTCACTCACTCAACACTCACTCACTCACACAACACTCACACACACAAACACTCACTCACTCACAACACTCTCACACACACTCACACACAACACTCACTCTCACACACAAACACTCACTCTCACACACAAACACTCACTCACACACACTCACACACAACACTCACTCAGACACAACACTCACTCACTCACACACAACACTCACTCTCACACACAAACACTCACACACTCACTCACTCTCACACACACTCACACACAACACTCACTCTCACACACAAACACTCACTCTCACACCCAACACTCACAACACTCACACACACAACACTCACACACACAACACTCACACACACTCACTCACACTCACTCACACACACACACACACACACAACGCTCACTCACACACAACACTCACAACACTCACTCACACTCACTCACAACACTTTCACACACAACACTCACACACACTCACTCACACACAACACTCACTCACACACAACACTCACTCACACACAACACTCACACACAACACTCACTCACAAATACTCACAAACACTCACTCACACACAAACAACAGTCTCACACACAAACAACAGTCTCACACACAACACTCTCACACACACAACACTCACACACAACACTCACTCACACACACACACAACACTCACACACACACAACACTCACACACACACAACACTCACTCCACACAACACTCACTCCACACAACACTCTCACACACAACACTCACTCACACTCACTCACAACACTTTCACACACAACACAACACTCACACACACACTCACTCACTCCACACAACACTCTCACACACAACACTCACTCACACTCACACACACTTTCACACACAACACTCACACACACAACACTCACACACACAACACTCACACACACAACACTCACACACAACACTCACTCACAAACACTCACTCACAAACACTCACTCACAAACACTCACTCACACACACACAACACTCTCACACACACAACACTCTCACACACACAACACTCTCACACACACAACACTCACTCACACAACACTCACTCACACACAACACTCTCACACACAACACTCTCACACACACACAACACTCACACACACACACAACTCACACACACACTCACTCACTCCACACAACACTCTCACACACAACACTCACTCACACTCACTCACAACACTTTCACACACAACACTCACACACACAACACTCACACACACAACACTCACACACACACTCACTCACACACACACTCACTCCACACAACACTCTCACACACAACACTCACTCACACTCACTCACAACACTTTCACACACAACACTCACACACACAACACTCACACACACAACACTCACACACAACACTCACACACAACACTCACACACACACAACACTCACTCACAAACACTCACTCAAACACTCACAAACACTCACTCACAAACACTCACTCACACACACACAATACTCTCACACACAATACTCTCACACACACAACACTCTCACACACACAACACTCTCACACACACAACACTCACACACACAACACTCACACACACAACACTCACTCACACACAACACTCTCACACACAACACTCTCACACACACACAACTCACACACACACTCACTCACTCCACACAACACTCTCACACACAACACTCACTCACAAACACACATTCACTCACTCTCACACAACACTCACTCACTCAACACTCACTCACAACATTCACTCACACTCACTCACTCAACACTCACTCACTCACACAACACTCACACACAACACTCACTCACACACAACACTCACTCACTCAACACTCACTCACACAACACTCACTCACAACACTCACTCACTCACAACACTCACTCACTCACAACACTCACTCACACACAACACTCACTCACACACTCACTCCACACAACACTCTCACACACAACACTCACTCACACTCACTCACAACACTTTCACACACAACACTCACACACACAACACTCACACACACAACACTCACACACAACACTCACACACAACACTCACACACACACAACACTCACTCACAACACTCACTCAAACACTCACAAACACTCACTCACAAACACTCACTCACACACACACAACACTCTCACACACAATACTCTCACACACAATACTCTCACACACACAACACTCTCACACACACAACACTCACACACACAACACTCACACACACAACACTCACTCACACACAACACTCTCACACACACAACTCACACACACACTCACTCACTCCACACAACACTCTCACACACAACACTCACTCACAAACACACATTCACTCACTCTCACACAACACTCACTCACTCAACACTCACTCACAACATTCACTCACACTCACTCACTCACTCAACACTCACTCACTCACACAACACTCACACACAACACTCACTCACACACAACACTCACTCACTCAACACTCACTCACACAACACTCACTCACAACACTCACTCACTCACTCACAACACTCACAATCACTCACAACACTCACTCACACACAACACTCACTCACACACACACAACACTCACTTTCACACACACACAAAACACTCACTCACTCTTTCACACACAACACTCTCACACACAAACACTCACTCTATCACACACACAACACTCACTCACTCACACACAACACACACTCACTCACACACACACAGGTTAGAGACTCTTCAACCCACACCACCTCCAGGATCCGACGCGAAGGCAATCAACGCCAGGGAGCACATTCTCTACTAGTTTAAGTACAATTCAAGCTGGAAACCTGGTCTGATGCAAGTGCCCGCACCCCATGAATTATTAAACCTTCAGCCAGTAAAGCCTTCGCCGCCTCCTCCCTTTCCTCCTTCAAGGCCGGTCTCAAGATCTTTGTCTTTGACTGTGCCTTCAGCTCCCCTCTCGACTCTCTACCCCCTCCTCACTCCCTCCCTTCCCTCCCCTCACCCTGACCATTTCCCCCACTGCTCGGGTCCTGACCCAACTGTACAGCGCTTTGGGACGTCCTCCTGACGTGAAAGGCGCTCTATAAATGGAATCTTGTTGTTGTCTCCCCCCCACACAACAACAAAAACACCGGACGCTTCCAGGATTTCCAGCTGGATTTTCTCATCCGCCAGCTGCTACGTGTGTGTTTGTCTTGTTTTTAATGTCTTAGCTTCTCTGGGATCACTCACCTGAGGCCTTTCACCTTCTTTCCTGCTTGGTTTCCCCCCCACACCCTCTGGTCTGTGTGCGCACTCTCACACACACACACACACACAGGTAAAGTAAAGGGCGGGTCAGCACAGGGCACTTAGCTCTGTCTTACCTTTTTTTCTGCCAAAAACAACTGCAGTTCCAGCAGTCACAGTGGTTTTTGTGGAGTCCTGTAGCTCAGTGGTTAGAGCACTCGCTTTGCAAGTGAGAGACCGGAGTTCAATTCCAGGCAGAGGGCGAAACCTTGGGCAAGTTTCCTTACTCCACACAGAGCCTAATAATAATCCCTCCAAAAAAACAATAATAAATTGGTCATTTTCAATCCATGACTGTTTGCGGGACACTGCTGCGCGCAATTGGCTGCCGCGTTCGCCCACAAATATAGTCAATTCACTTTACAGCATATTCTGTGAAGCGCTTTGAGACGTCTAGAAGACGTGATAAGGCACTATATCAAATGCAAGGATCGTGATTATTATTTCGTGGGTGTCGTCCTTTTACTCACTCTTCGTGAGAAGAAATCCTTTGCTTCTTTCTGTGAGAAAACTATAGCCAGATCCAATTAAAAGACTGAAAACTATTTCGAAAGACCAAGGGAGGGCGAGAGAGAGGGAGACAAGTGCTGCAGTAAACTACTGTGAGTCGATAGAAAAAAAAGGCAATTGAGAGTTCATTAAAAAGTTAGAGGTCATAAGAGGGCAGTAGTAAGAAAAACACAGATTGCAGAGTAGGATCAGTAAAAATTGTTTGACAGTGTTAAAGCCCACATGTTGTCGCTCCTTCCAGTGATTATTACAGATTTCACCTACAAATCCATCCACTCCCTGACATGCGCTTATCACTCCGATCCCTTTCTACCCTTCTCCACTGCTCCCCTGCCCCTTCTGCCCCTACAGTGGCTTATAGCAGGTCCTTCCTCACTCTTTCCCCCTCACCCACCCACTCACTCACTCATCTGAGTCAGGCAAGCTGAGAGCCCCCTACCCTCTCCACAACACCATCGGTGGTCGTGTATTCAGTTCCTCGCCAGGCTCCCTGTGTCCAAAAGGATGGATTTGAAAATCCTCACCCCAAGATACACATCTCTTAACACTAACACCTTTCTACCTCTGTGACCTGCTTGTACCCCGTTTTTAACTTGCAGCCGCTTAAGCTGGATACATCTGGGATGGCCATTTTGTCCAGCTTAAGAGGCGTCTGAAGTAAACTGGAGTTCTCCTGCCCAGCAGAGGAGCATTGGCGACTCCTCCCTCTCATTGCCATTCCCATTGAACAGGAAGGGGACCTGCTCCGAGGTGATTGACAACCTGGAGCACTCTATCCGTTCACAAGTATCCCTAGCTGTCAATCAATTGCAATTTGACTCCACCCATTCCCTCCCTTGTTTCTTCCCTGCTCCTCCCCCTCACGGATTGACTGTCCACGGTCGCTGGGGAATGGCTGGAGTCCGCTGTCAATCAATCACATTTTGACTCCTCCCATCTCCATCCCAGAGTCGATCGTGGATGATTGGAGCTTCTCGAGATACAGAGTGAGTTGACGTAGCAGCGACCTGTGTGGTATTTTGTCCGAATTAACCGGCATATTTAAATTAGCTGAGAATACGAATGAATCGGGCTGGGCATCTGATTTACCAGGCGTCCTGAGTGAACTGGCGCCCGGCTAAAGCAAGCCTTACGCAGTATTATTATTATTATACTCTCTGCAGGGGAGAGAGCGAGGTAGTGGGATTGAATTGGATAGCTCTTTTCAAAGAGCCGGCACAGCCACGATGGACCGAATGGCCTCCTTCTGTGCTGTATAATTCTATAATTCTATTATTTTAGTCCCATTTCAAATACTACCTCTTTGAACATGCCTACAGCCAACTGGTTCTCCCCTCCCTCTCTCTTGCATGGTGTCCAACATCATCCCTGTGAAGCATCCCCTGGACAGATACACCTTGCTTACAAAATTCTGAAGAGTAGTGGCTGGACATGCTGCTTGTTCAGCTCCTAGAGATGTCCTCCTGATGTGAACAATAACAACAACAAAAAGATTACAATTGTATAGCGCCTTTCACATCAGAAGGACGTCCCAAGGCGCTGGACAGTGTACAGCATTTCAGACCTGAGCTGGGGTCAGCGGGGGAGAAGGGAGGGGAGGGGAAGGAAGGTGACCAATGGCATGGTCGAAGAGGAGGGTTTTGAGGCGGGATTTTAAGGAAGCTAAGGAGGGGGTGAGGCGGAGTGATTGGCGGATGGAATTCCAGAGGTTGGGGACAGAGTGGCTGAAGGCTCTTCCACCAGTGATGGGGCGGGTGGGTTGGGGGATGTGGAGTAGGCCTGAGCCGGCTGAGCGGCGGGAGTGGGCGGGTTGGTAGGAAGTTAGGAGGTCACAGAGACAGGGAGTTTGTATGGTCAAGTCTGGATGTTATGAATGCGTGAATGAGGGCTTTGGCAACAACAAAAAGAAAATTACATTTATAGAGCGCCTTTCACATCGGGAGGACATCCCAAAGTGCTGAACAGTCAGATGTCGGGGCCCGAGCATGGGGGAGGGGTGGTGTAGGCCTGAGGGAAGGCAGGGAGGTGGGAGGGAGGCCAAAAGCATGGTTGAAGAGAAAGGTCTTGAGACCGGCCTTCAAGGAGGCAAGGGAGGAAACGAGGCGAAGGGACAGTGGATGGAGTTCCAGAGTGTGGGGACAGAAAGGCTGAAAGCCCGGCCACCGATGGTAGGGTGGGTCGGTGGGAGACATGGAGCAGGCTGGAGCCCGATGAACGGAGGGAGTGGGCAGGTTGGTAGAGAGTCGGCAGGTCAGAGAGGTAGGAGGGGGCAAGGCCACGGATGGCCTTAAATGTGAGGACGAGGATCTTAAACTCGATCCTCTGGGGGATGGGGAGTCAATGGAGTCAGGCGAGGGTGGGAGTAATGGGGTCACGGAGCCTGGTGTGTGAGAATACACGAGCTGTAGAGTTTTGGTTGATTTTTCAGCTTGTGAAGGGAAGAGTTGGGAAGGCCGATGAGGAGGGAGTTCCCGTAATCGAGCCTTGAGGTTACAAATGCATCGGTGAGGGTCTCGGCAGCCTGAGGGGTGAGGCAGTGGCGGAGTCTGGCAATGTTGTGGAGGTGGTGGTAGGCAGTGCCAGTCATGGCGCGGATGTAGGGGAGAAAGGACAGTTCAGGGTCAAACAAGATACCCAGGTTCCTGACTGGCTTAGTGAGGTTGAGTGTGCAGCTGTGGAGGCTGATGCTGCCAGCGCCTGAGGTGCGGAGGCGCTGGCGCGAGCCAATCAGGAGGGTCTCGGTCTTGCTGACGTTGAGTTGGAGAAAATTGTCCCTCGTCCAGGACTTGATGTCGGATAGGCCGTCGGTCAGGACACCAGTAGTCCTGGAGTTCAGGGTGGAGGCAGAGAGGTAGAGTTGGGTGTCATCCGCATACATGTGGAAATTTACCCCATGTCTGCGGATGATTTCACCAAGGGGGAGCATGTAGAGGGTGAAGAGGAAGGGACCGAGGACAGAGCCCTGAGGAACACCGCACGAGCAGTGCGGGGGCTGGAGGAGAAACCTTTTGCCACGATGAAGTGGAGGCGGTGTGAAAGGTAGGACCTGAACCAGTCAAGGGCAGAACCTTGAAGGTTGAGGTGGAAGGAGAGGCGGTGGAGGAGGATTGAGTGATCCATGGTGTCAAAGGCGACGGAGAGGTCGAGGAGGACGAGGAGGCAGAGGGAGCCCTGGTCACACATGGTCAGGATATCGTTTGTGACTTTGACCAGAGCAGTTTCCGGGTTGTGGGCAGCACAGAAACCCGATTGGAGGGGTTCATGGAGGGAATGAGAGGAGAGGAAAGAGGGAAGCTGGGAGGCAAGGCTCACTGAAGGACCTTGGATAGGACGGGGAGATCTGAGATGGGCCAGTAGTTAGATAGCTGTGATAGGTCAAGGGAAGGTTTCTTCAAGGTGCAGGTGATAGTGGCTGTTTTGAGGGGGGAAGGAACAGTGCCAGATGACAGGAAGAGGTTAATGATGTTGGCGAGTAGTGGTGCAAGGAGGTGGAGCTGGGATTTAAGGAGAGGGGGTGGGGATGGGGTCGAGGGAGCAGGTTGTGGACTTCATGGAGATTACTGTGTTGAAGACAGAGGAGGGGGTGACAGGTACAAAAATGTGGAAAGAGGGATGGGTAATTGTCAGATGGGTAATTGTGTGGGGTGGGGTAGGGAGGGTGTGGAAGTTGGGAGGGCAGTGGCAGTTGAGCGGATCCCCTAGATTTTGGACTCGAGGAAGTCCAGCATTTCTCGCAGTGAGAGTCAAAGGAACGTATCTGCGAAGCATGTCGGGGAGGGCGGAGGAGCCGGTTAGTGGTGGAGAACAGGAGCCTGGGATTGGTTTTGCCTCCAGGATTAAACTGGAATAGAAGGGTGATTTGGCTGAGGCGAGAGCGGAGCAGTAATTCTTGATGAGGTCCAGCCAGATGTAGCAGTGAATCGTTAAACCAGATATGAGCCAAGTGCGTTCGACGGCCCACACCTGCCCTTAAGCAAGCGGAGGTGGCTGGTGAACCAGGGTGAGGATCGGGAATAGGAGGCAGTTCGGGAGGTGAGGGGGGCAAGGACATTGAGTGTGGTGGAGAGGGTGCTGTGGAGAAGAGTGAGTACAGCAAGAGGGCTGTTGCGAAAGGTG